GAAATTAGGAAAGACCACAAATACATGGAGGTTAAATAACAAGCTACTAAACAATGAATGGGTCAACCAAAAAATAAAAGAAGAATTAAAAAATACATGGACACAAATGAAAATGAAAACACAATGGTTCATAACCTTTGGGATGCAGCAAAAATGGTCCTCAGAGGGAAGTTTATAGCAATATAGGCCTACCTTAAAAAGCAAGAGAAATCTCAAATAAAATAACCTCCACATAAAGGAGCTAGAGAAGGAACAACAAATGAAGCCTAAAGCCAGCTGAAGGAAGGAATAATACAGATTAGAGCAGAAAGAAATGATACAGAAACTAAAAAAAAAATACCAATAGAATAGATCAATGGAGTCAGGAGCTGGTTCTTTTAAAAAAGACAATTAAATTGATAAACATCTCTCCAGACTTACCAAAAAGAAAATAGAAACTACCCAAATAAAAAATATCACAAATGAGAGAGGACAAATAACAAATGCCACAGAAATACAAACAATCATAAGAGAATATTATGGCCAGATGTAATTAGATTCTGCTAACATGATAAATAGTTACTGAATATCTCCCTAAATTAGATTGCCCTCCATCTGTAAAGATCATCACTTTCAATAAAGGCTTGTTTTGTTTGCTAAATAATTTCCCTACAGGTACTAAGATAGAAGTCTTATAGGTGTATTGATGGGTCCCTCTGCCATCTGCTAATATCATCCTTAGTGGGGAAGAATTGAGAGCTTTTCCATCATAGTCAAGAACAAGATTGGGATGTTCATTCACCCCTTTTATTCAATATAGTATTGGAAGTCCTAGCCACAGCAATCACACAACAAAAAGAAATAAAAGGAACCCAAATTAGTAATGAAGATGTAAAACTCTCACTCTTTGCAGATGACATGATACTCTATAAAGCTATAAAGAAAACCCAAAAGACTCCATCCAAATACTGTTAAAACCCACAAACAAATTCAGTTAAGTCTCAGGATACAAAATTAACATACAGCAATCTGGTGCATTTCTATACACCAATAGTGAAGCAGCAGAAAGAGAAATTAAGGAATCGATCCCATTTACAATTGCACCAAAACCAGTGAGATACCTGGGAATAAACCTAACCAAAGAAGTGAAAGACCTATACTCTGAAAACTATAAAACACTGATGAAAGAAAACTGAAGATGACACAAAGAAATGGAAAGATATTCCATGCTCATGGGTTAGATCAAATATTGTCAAAATGTCTATAAATATCCAAACCAATATATGCATTTAATGCAATTTCTATCAAAATATAACCAGCATTTTTCACAGAGCTAAAAAAAAATCCTAAAATTTGTATGGAACCACAAAAGACCCAGAATAGCCAAAGCAGTCTTAAAACAGGAAAGCAAATCTGGATGCATCAAAAAGTTATATTACAAAGCTATAGTCATTAAAACAGTATGGTACTGGCACAAAAATAGACATAGATCAATAGAACAGAAGAGAAAACCCAGAAATGAGCCCACAACTATATGGTCAACTAATCTTTGACAAAAGAGGCAAGAATATGTAATGGGGAAAAAACCATCTATTCAAATTATGGTGTTGGGAAAACTGGACAGCCACATGCAGAAGAATGCAACCGGACCACTTGCTTATACTACACACAAAAATAAGTTTAAAATGGATTAAGAACCTAAATGTGAGACCTGAAATCATAAGTACCCTAGAGGGGAACACAGGCAATAATCTCTTAGACATCAGCCGTAGCAACTGTTCTCTAGCTATGTCTCCTGAGGCCAGAGAAACAAAAGCAAAAATAAATTTATTGACACTGCCTCAAAATAAAAAGCTTCTGCCCAGCAAGGGAAACAATCAACAAAACTAAAAGTCAACCTGTGGAATAGGAGAAGATATTTGCAAATGATGTATCTGATAAAGGGTTGGTATCCAAAATACATAAAGAACTTACAAAACTCAACACCCCAGAAATGAATAATCCAATTAAAAATGGGCAAAAGATGGGGCACCCGGGTGACTCAGTCAGTTAAGGGTCCAACTTCAGCTCAGGTCATGATCTCACAGTTCATGGGTTCGAGCCCCACATTGAACTGTATGCTGATAGCTTGGAACCTAGAGCCTGCTTCGGATTCTGTGTCTCCCTCTCTCTCTCTGCTTCTCTCTCTTTCTCTCAAAAATAAATATTTAAAAAACTTTTTTTAAATGGCCAAAAGATATATGTAGACATTTTTCCAAAGAAGATAGAAAGATGGCCAACAGACACATGAAAAGATGCTTAACATCACTGGTCATCAGGGAAATATAATTCAAAACTACAATGAGATATCACCTCATACCTGTCAGAATGACTAAAATCAAAAACACAAGAAATGACAGGTGTTGTCAAGGATGTGGAGAAAGGCAATCCGCACTGCTGGTGGGAATGCGCACTGGTGTAGGCCGCTCTGGAAAACAGTATGGAGGTTCCTCATGAAGTTAAAAATAAAACTACTCAATGATCCAGCAATTGCAATACTAGGTGTTTACCCAAAGAATACAAGAACAACACTAATTCAAAGGGATACATATACCCTGATGTTTATAGTAGTATTATCTATAACAGCCCAATTATGGAAACAGCCCAAGTTGTGTCCATCAACTGATGAATGGACAAAGAAGTATATATAATACAACTTCAAGTTATATTACAAAGCTATATGTATATATATATGGTTAATGCCAAGTACTGATACATGTCTCTTACATGGCAGCCTGACATATAGTGCAGCCAATCAAAACATTAATTATTAATAAATTTTAAATTATCTTTCACTATTAGATTAAATAAATTTTGTCTTCAACCTTTCTTTTCCCACCTCAGAGATATTTCCATGTCTCTTCTGTATCCCAACACTCAATCTGGAGACAAGTTGTGGGATAGTCCACCATGATGGTCAGTGGAGTATTTGCTCAATAAATTCCCAAAGAAAAATGATACTGATGCTTAGGAGCAGGAGTTGGCAAATGTTTTCTATGAAGGGCCAGATAATAAATATTTTAGGCATCAGAGGCCATATGGTCTCTGTCACAACTACTCAACTCTGCCATTATAGTGTGGTAGCACCATAGAACATATGTCAGAAAAATTATGGCTGTATTTCAGTAAAACTTTATTTATGGACACTGACTTTGAATTTCATGTAAGTTTCCCACAACACAAAATATGATATTGCTTTTGATTTTTTCTTCAATCCTTTAAAATGTAAAAAATCATTCTTGGCTCCTGGCCCATAAGAGAACAGGCAACAAGATGAATGATTGTCAGCACTTAGCTTTCAGACTCCTGATTTAGAGTCATGTAATTTGAAGTGATAATGAACTTGGGGAGAGTATCAGCCTGAAATTCCACAGGAATATGCTTCCTTCCTAGTGGGTAGTCAAATCCCAGTATGTGAAAGGGTGTTTCTATTTATTGCTACTTTAAGAAACACTACATGTCAAGTTTAATGGCAAACTCTCTGTTCCCTCTCTAATGTGATTTTAATTGATAGAAATTCTAGTAAAAGGAGTTGGGTTTGCAGAAGATTCTGTTGAGATACTTGAGGCTGAGTCATTAGTACATACAATGTCAATGAGCATCATAGTGCTTTTCTGCATGATCCTAGTTTGCACTTGATAAACAATTTTTTTTAAAAAAACTTTATTTTGGAAACTCAAGGGCAATGAAAAAACTAAGGGAGTGTAAAATACACTTGTTTGGAGCCCACTGGCTGAATTCTGTGACCCCTTTCTGGCTTTCTGTGCGCCCTGACACCTGAGGGAATGTGTGTTCACTGACATTCCAGAAGGTCAGAGAGATAAGTGACTCACCCTAACAGCATAGCATTTTAAAGACAGGCTTCCAAGTTGGTTCCCCTCAATTCCCTGAACTGTTTGCTAAGATATACGAAAGACAAATTTTTAACAAGATTATTGAACTGTCTTTCTCTCGTTCTACTGTCCTCCAAAAATCAGTTTTGTTATCAGTTGTATATACAGTTTCAAAAATTGTTATTTACATTCAGACTGTACACATGCAAAAAAATCATACAAAAGGGTAAGTTTGTGGAATGACTTTATAATGGTCAGTGCGTCCCACCTATCTGGCCCCAAATGAGGGCATTTCTCAGCCACAGCAGCATGAAAAGAGGAAGAAGGGGCAGAGATTTCTTCCTAAGGGGAAGTCTGTGCCCAACTCACATTGGGCCCATCCCCAAGAACCTCTTCTGGATTTCTGTGCTCCTCTTCTTTTATGGAGGGTGGGTACAGGGTACACTTGGAAGACCCAAAACAAGATAAATATAGGGGAAGCAGGAAAACAAATCTAAGAGAAAAACCAAACTGGGCTTGAATCTTTACTCTTCATTATAGATGGAAATAGACACTTGATAAGCACCTACCCTGTGTTGGAAACTTCATATAGACTTGGTTGTTGAAATAAATGAAAAAAGAGGAAGGAACAAAAAATGTCCCGTTATTTAGCTGATGCACAGCAGGGACGAAAGCCTCTTAAGGAACTACTTCAAAGCAATCAAGGAGACAAAATGTTTTTGTTTGTTTGTTTTTTAACAGTTTTGTCTCCTTTATTATCCAAGAAATCAGGTTGATTTCATGGAGCTTCTGATTCCTGACAACAGCAAACTGCATGCGTGCTCAGCGTTTGGTGTGTGTTTCTCAAGCAGTGTGGTAGTCCACTCCCACGCTAAAATAGGATACAACATATTGGTTGTGACTCTCTGGAAATTGGGGTGTCAGTTCTCTGTTCCTGAAGGTAATGATGTCACAGTTGCTTCTGAGTAATATGTTGTGTGACCAATTGATGGAAGGCAGAGAACAATCCTTTAACCATGGTTCCACTTAGTGACCCTCTGAGCATTTAATAGGAATGCAGTCAATTATTAGACAATTTAAACCGTTATCAGAAAAGACATGTTTCTAACTTAGCCTCCTCATCCTTTTCTGTTCTTCCCTGTGATTCAGGAGGAAGGACGCTGGCTTCTTATCCTACAAAGATCACCTGCCAGTAAGCCAAGTGGTAGTTGGAGATACTGACCGGCAAGGCTCCGAAGCCAAGCTGAGCGTGGGTCCCCTGCGCTGCCAAGGAGACAGTAAGTTGGCCCAGAAGCTGTGGCTTGCACTTTCTTATCAGTTTCAAATAGTGTTTCTCAGAAAATCAGAGGATGGCAAGAGACAGGCTTGCTCTTCTGTAACTCCTCAAGAAGCGTCGCACAATGAGAGCAGAACTAAATGGAGAGCTAGATAGACCTTAACACATACAGGAGAGGCGCAGCCATAAAGTCCCCAGTACCGCAGCCTAGATTTGGGCATACAGTGTGGATATCCAGCTTCCTTGTATATTCATGTGTAACAAGTTTGACTACCTAAGTTTATGGTGATATAAATAGCAATGCTAATAGCATACAAGTGGCAGTCAACAGCTGTGATTCCACTGAGTGCTGCTGTTAATGCCATTAGCATGACTATTTATATCGCCATAACTCAGCTTATGGCGATATAAATAGTAGCATTATGGCTTAATGTATCATTGTAAACTTGGATTATGGTCATATAAAGTTTGACATTATTGCTATCAAATTTCATCATCATCAGGGCTTGATAGTCCCTTGTAAGCCAACGATTGTTCATGTGGCTACGCCTTGCTCTCAGGATTCGGCACCACAGAGAGGAACTTGGGGCTGCTGGCTTGGACTGTGGGAGGTCAGGGAGTTGGAGTGATGATCTCGCCTAATGAAGGGCGCCATTAGGATTTTATGTTGCTTGATACCCTTCAGTGTGCTTTATGTGGAGTCGGAGGGAAACAGTGCCAGGTTGCTATGGGGATTCTGTAATGAACGTCCTGGGGGTCGTTTCCCCTCTTCTTGTCTATGCCCGTGGTTTCAGCAAGTCTCCCGAGAGTTCTGTGCTTTCTGTGATTGCGTGCTGGGCATCGGGAGACCCAGATTCTGCTCCTCGCATAACTGGCTTTCCAGGAGACCTCAGGCAAACCCCTCCACTTTCTCACTGTGGTAATGAGAATACCACCTGCGCCCCAACTCCTCCTGGGGAAACCATAAAGATTTTAGTGCCTGGATCTGGATTCCTCGTAGCATAGCATTCTGTGCAATGGGATATTATTACCACTTCCATAAATCAGAGGAGAATTAGACGCACTCGATGTAATAAATTATTGCATCGACTCCAAGAGGTGTCCTAAGAAATGAAATGGTGCATGCTTAAATGTTTACTACTTACTACATGGGGGCTGTTGGCAATTAAACAAGGCAGTGTTCCTGATACGAAAGAGAGACCGAGTTTGTGCTGATATGTCTCTCTTTAGTTTAAAACTGAGACTGGACAAAGAGCTTTATCATGCGTTTATTGAGCAATAAGACTTTACTTGTTGAGCCAGACTTAGGAGGACTATGCAGTGAGAAATTTAACTTCAGCTGTTAATATTCATAAAATAATAGTAAGTATGCATTTTTTAAATATTTTGAGAGATGGGTGCACGATAGGATGACTCACAAAATAGGCAGGTTCTCATGTGCTGTCTGATGAAAATCAGTTTCATTGTGTCATGATTATTCATTAATCTATAAAGGTAAAATATTTCTCATTTACCAGTGCTAATTCTGGAGCAAGCTATGAATTAAAGAAAGGGTTCCCCATGAAGAATTGATTAACTTGGTATAGTTATAAAAATCCCACTTCTGCAAACCTTTGGTACCATTCTTAAATAGAAGATTCCAGCCACATTACATAGTATATGTAGAAGTGTGTTAACAGTTTATAGCTAATATTAGCTTGTTTCCCTTAATCAATAAATCAGTCTTCAAGAATTTCTGACATGTCTGCTAAATGTCTAACACTTTACCAGATACTCTGAGAAATAAGAAACAAGTTCAAACTACATTTTGAGAAATGTACATGAAAAAAATATTGGAAAACAAAATGTCTTATAAGATTAGATTCTGCAATACAATATTATTGCAGCTGATGTTTAAGAAACGAGTGATATAGTGTATTTCAGGCAGACTTCATATTTAAAAAGAAAAAAAAACAGGAAAAGTATGGTGGTCAATGTTTATTTACATTTCTTTTCCAAGGCTATTGTTCTTAGAAACATTTTTTAGGACCCCTTGATAAGACAAAGAGCTGTCTTAATCATTGGCAACACATGAGCTCAGAATTCTTATAGCACTACAGCCTAAGGGAGACTGTTTCAATCCATATTTTGCCTGATACTTCATAAAATAAAAGCACAGTCAATATTTAATTGCAATTATATGGAATGCTTTTGTGTCCAAGAGGGACAAAGAGAAGTCTTCCTTTTCTGCCGGCAGCTGAGAACATCATACCTTGTACCTGAATTGCCAGGTAGCATTTTTGATGTCTACCTTCCATTTAAGAACATTCTAACTTGGCCACAGTAATGAGAAAACGTTCCACATAATGTCATTTTCCAGTTTTTAACGTGTTTGATTTCCTCGTATACTCACAGCCCCCAATGAGGTGGGTTAGGTTAAATATTAGCCTTTCTGTTTACAAATAAATGAAATATTTCTTTTAAAATGTCATTGGCACTACAAATTTCTGTATGCCCTTGCAGTCTCTGGGAGGCTTCAGGAAGAAAGACAGAGCAGAGAACATAAACAGCTTTCCCTATACAAGGTCAAAATTGTTTCTCTGAGTCAGTTGATGATCAAATGAGATTATTTTTAAAAAATAGCCATTTGGGTCTTATCCCCACCACTGCCCCCACCCACCCCCATCCAGTTACCAATGTAGCATGAATGTTTCAGGAATTAAATTCCAATTGTTACCATGTAAAAAGCATCACAGTGCCTGTATCCTGTTGTTTATAGAGATTAACTGACTTTGTATCATTTACTGAAGTCTGTACAAAGCTATAGTTTAAAACACCAAATCCGTTGTGAGAAAATGTTTTTTCTCTATTTGAAGAGTCTTAGTGATGTCAGCCCTGGAAAGCTGGGTCTTGAATTAGCTCCCCATTCTATCCCCCAGTCTTAGAGAATGAAACAATTTTTGTAGGCTCTGACCAACCGTTTCAAAGTGGTTCCGGTTGATTCTATCATGCCTGGTGAGTTTCCTTTTTACTTTGACTCATCCGAACTCATAGACCCATATAATCCAAATGCTAAATAAAACCAGTGAGTTCCATTCAGGTCTGCTGCATTTCCCATATAGTGCTGAAAATGCTCATGATCTTATGGTTTAGTTTTCGATGGGGGTATTAGCTTGTTATTGGGGGGGAGGAGGAGTTTCTCAGACACGTTCAAATGGAAACCTCACATGTAAATGAAACCCAGAGTATAACTAGTGATGGGTAGTTTGCTAAGATAAAAAGTGCCTCTGAGGTTACAAATCTCCCCCCTAATCCAAGACACACTCACCAGGGAAGAAACCAAAGAGCTGCATTACAGCATCAGCCACTGGTAGGTAGAAACTGTTTTCAAAAGTAAATGTATAATCATTCTTGCAGAGAGTTGCTAAACTTTTATGGAATCAGAACAAAGATAAAATATTTCAGGCTTTGGAGGTAGAAGTCTTCTTCATACCATATGTGGTGAATATAATTAATTATAGAAATAAAGAATGTGCCAGATAATTGCTTTATTCTCAGCTTTCTGAGCTAAAGATTTCCCATATCCTCTCTAGGGATTCAGGGACTTTAAACAATTAATTAGGAGCAAGTTTGCTACAAAAGCAAGTGTTTTCAGTGCATGTGGGTAGAAACCATTCACGAAAATGTATTACTCAGAAACCCTCTCTGGTGGTAAAACAGAGTCACAGTGGATGTTTAAAAGGCCAATGTAGTTTCTCAGAAAACCGAAATATTTTATTTCTGTCCTGATTCCACAAAAGTTTAGAAACTCTCTGCAAAAAAAAACTATTATACCTTTACATTTGAAAACAGTTTCTGCCTACCAGTGTCTGATGCTCTGAAGTAGCTCAGAGAGGCCAAGAAGACAAGGTGAGGAAGGAGGCCACAAATCCAGCCCAGGAACACAGGGCAGAGGCAAAGCCAAGGGTAAAATAAGATGGCGACAGAGTTCCGTCCAAACAATAGCGGACCTCTGTTTTCTGGGAATACAATCATGTGTACCAGCAAAATACAAAGGCCATGCTCTCTTTACTGCAAGAGTCTTATAAGCCACAAACATAACCAACCATTCCCTTACCCAGAGAGGCAAAGCAATGACAGCGTCCACACCTCGCTTCTCTGCAGATAAGACACTTCCAATGGCAATGCCGAGGAGTATCATTCTCCATGGGATGTGCCCAGGGGCACACAGGCCATGCTGTCCCCTGTGAGCATCCATGTGAGACACACTCAGAGCGGCAGAGGAGGACTGGACAAGGAGAGAGCCCAGCTGCTCATCTGGGCTCAGAATGCGATCTTGATTATGGAAAGGAAGCCATTACCTGGGCTCCAGAGAGGCCTACAGAGTCTTCTCATCCCCTTTGACTTTGCTGCTTTAGGCTTGGAAGAGATGAGGAAGGCAAAGGGCTCAACATGCACCTTGTATACTTTATACATGTTTCTCTCTTGACTCTCCCGACATCTTGTATCAGGTGGGATCTTTGACTCCAGCATAGCAATGAGAAAACAGAGCTAGACTTTAAGAGGAGGGGGATTTGCCAATAAGTTTCAGAGCTGGGGCCAGAAGGTCTGTGTGGTGCCAGAGCTAATCCCAGAATGGATAAAATTTGATCATCTCCAGTCATTATTTCCTCCAAAGATGCTCCACATGCTTTTCCTTTCCCCATGTCTTCCCCAGCATGTAGCCACGGATGCTTGCTTCAAGTATAGCTAGAAGAAAGAACAAAGAATTGTGGCATTCTAATGGTTGAAGATGCTCAGAGATCAAACAGTACAGACCCGTCATGTTCCAGAGGAGGGAACTCAGGTCTAGGGAGGTTAAGTGACCAGCTGAGGGTCTCCCAGTGGGTATATGGCAGAGCATTTTGACAGTTTGACATGAGCTTTCATCTTTAGTAATTTCCTGAGGCTGAGATGAATGTTGAGATCCAGAGAGGAAGCTCTGGCCTGGAACTCTGAACTTGGGTCCCTGCCCCTCAACAG